GAGGTATTGTCAACCTCCTAATTTACTCGATGTACAAACAACTCCAACCTGAAGAGTTGAAGCCAACTTCAATCACTCTTAAATTGGCGGGCCAAAGCATTTGAACACTGAAGGGAGTGGTTAAGGATTTCTTGGTTCAAGTGAAAATTTTTTATTTTTTTGTCAATTTTATTGTGCTTGAGACTCACCTTGTTGCTAACCTCGGATCCCAAATTCCAGTCATATTAGGTAGACTGTTCCTTGCTACTTCTAATGCTGTTATTAAATGCAAGAATAGATTGATGAAGCTTACATTTGGGAACATGACAATGGACTTCAATGTGTTCAATCTATGTAAACAACCAGGGGATGATGAGGAAGTGCAAGAAGTCAATAGGATTAACACATTGGTGGAGGAGCACTTGGAGTTGCTGGACATGTTGAAATTGGGGGAGGAAGAGGTTGATGATCAAGAGGAGTTGGAGAGCTTGAAAGGAGTGGAAAAATGGATCCCAACATTTGAGAAGCTTCCACACCAAGACAAGAAGATCTTCCCATCGAATGAGCAAAAACCCATCTTGGAGTTGAAGCCATTACCATCCAATCTCAAGTATGCATACCTCGGGGATGACAAAACCTTCCCAGTGGTCATAAGCTCAACTTTAGAGATGAAGCAAGAAGAGGATCTCTTGAAAGTGTTAAGGAGGGACAAGGAAGCGATTGGATGGACAATTGCTGACATCAAGGGGATAAGCCCCCTTATTTGCATACATTGCATCTATCTTGAGGAAAATTCCAAGCCGCCCCGACAACCACAAAGAAGATTGAATCCAATTATGAAGGAGGTGGTGAGGGATGAGGTACTCAAACTACTTGATGTGAGCATCATTTTCCCGATTGCTGATAGTAAATGGGTGAGTCCCACTCAAGTGGTACCAAAAAAAAAAAAATCAGGGGTCATTGTGGTTGCAAATGAGGATAATGAGTTGATTCTGACTAGGGTGATAATTGAATGGAGTGTGTGTATCGACTATCGGAAGCTCAACTCTTGCATAAGAAAGGATCACTTCCCTTTGCCATTCCTCGACCAAGTATTGGAAATAGTAGTCGGACACTTGTTCTATTGTTTCTTGGATGGGTACTCTGGCTACAATCAAATTAAGATCGCATTTGAGGATCAAGAAAAGACCACCTTTACGCCCCTATGGTACCTTTGCCTATCAACGCATGTCTTTTGGGTTGTGTACTGCCCCAAGGACTTTTCAACGTTGCATGATGGGAATCTTCAGTGATATGGTGGAGAAGATAGTGGAAGTGTTTATGGATAACTTATTAGTGTTTGGAGATTCGTTTGATGGATGTTTGGAGAACATAGAGAGAGTTCTTGAAAGATGTGAGGAGAAGAACTTGGTCCTCAATTGGGAAAAGTGTAACTTTATGGTGACGCAAGGAATTGTGCTCGGGCACATCGTCTCAGCAAAGGAGACCGAAGTTGACAAATCAAAGGTGGATGCAATTTCTATCCTCCCCACTCCAAAGGTCATCAAGGATATCAGGTCGTTTCTTGGTCATGCCAACTTTTATCGTCATTTTATTAAAAACTTTAGTGCATTGGCCAAACCTTTGACCAATTTACTTTCTAAGGATGTCCCATTCGGGTGGTCAAATAATTGTGAGGCATCGTTTACAAAACTCAAAAGCATGTTCACTACACATCCAATTATGCGACCACCCCAAGTGGGATTTACCTTTTGAGCTTATATGCAACGCAAGTGATTACGCGGTCGGTGTAGTGCTTGATCTAAGGGAGGACGAGAGACCTTATGTAATATACTACGCTAGCAAAACACTCAGGGTGTGTTTGGGTAGTAGGTTAAGGTAGGTTAAGAGCCATAAGGAAAGCTTAACAATGAAATGGGTCCCATACATCCACTATTTGGCAACTGAAAAATGAGGGAGGTTATGAATCCTTGGTCAAACCTTGACCCGGATGCTACAATAAAAATTATGTAGTGTGCATGGGTTAACTGTAACCCACCCCTCCCCTGGGTTACAATCCCACCCACCAGGTTAATTAGGTAAAAAGACTGGCTTACCCCTCTCTCTTTCTTGATACTTTGCTACACCCTACCCAATGAAGGATCCTTCACTTCGTCCAAGCAGGTTACAGTCGATCATCGACTGTAATCGAGGTAAGCTTCTTCTCATCGACTCTTTGCATATCTACCTCTCTTCACTCTCATTGACTCTCTCTCACAGTCTTTCACTCACTTCGCCTCTCTCTCAATCTTTCACTCAGAACTGATCTTCTCGCGACTGCTGGACCTGCTGATCTACACCTCTCTCCACCTTCTAGACATTGTTCCAGGTAAGGTATGGTCTCTACTCCCTCTCCCCCTCGCTATAACCTATAGCCGTTCTGCAGACAAAGGTTTCTTCCTTTTTTTTTTCACTTGTTGTAAAATATGTCTTCTTTTTTCATTCTTGTGCTTTTGAGTTTAGATCCTATGGTGTGTTTCCTTTTAGCTTCTCTCTCTCTCTCTCTTTCTCTCCGTAGCAAATGCAAACAGATCTGGTTCGCAGAGGTACACCCAGATTTGGTTTACAGAGGTAACCCACTGGTTTCACTCCCCCAGCCATCTATTTCTAAACCCAAAAAAATTAAATGCTTTGATTCCCACTCTAAAACTTGAAAACATTATTTTTTTCCTAAATGAATCGATGTAATGTGGTATTATGATGCCATGTGCTCCCATGAGTTTGGAAGAACAGTGAACGAAATGGGTAATTTTTCACCCAAATACCCATATCTGCTCATGTTTCATCCTTTATTGATTCTAAAATTGCTCATGTATATGTTGTGGCAAACATGGTAGCTTAGAATATTGGACATAATGTAAATTATCTTGTAAAAAAATGCCAGAAAGTAGTGTATGTCCAACTCTTTTTTGCTTGGGCTTAGCTTAAAGTGTGTTATATGTGTATGAAATTCGATATTGACTTCATTATTGTACATGAAATTGCAAGGGCATTGAGCTGATAAAATGCCAAATCGTATTAATAACATTGCTGGATTGATTGTTGTGTTGGATAGAATGAGAAGAGAGATGATAGTAATGTTCTATTTGTTTTTCTTCCTTATAGTAGTGTTATGGGAAAAGGAGAGACAATCATAATCTCAACCAGCAAGATCGTTGTGTAGAAATCAATTGCAACTTGAACACTTGCATCGACTAATTGGTGAGAGTGACATTAGTTGTATTGAACAACTTGGATGGATAGACACACATTTCGTGTTCTTTGTAATTTGGTTGATCAAGTTGGTGGGTTAAATCGCACGAGATATGTAAGTGTTGAAGAAATGGTGGCTATGTTCCTAAATATATTGGGTCATGATGTGAAGAATAGGCCAATAAAGTTCAACTTTCTTAGATCTGGTGAAACTGTAAGCAGGCATTTCAATGTTGTGTTAAAGGTAGTTATTAAGTTACATCGTGTACTATTGAAGACACCCGACCTAGTTACTGATGATTGTATAGATAATAAGTGGAAGTGGTTTAAGGTAAGGGAACTATACAATTGTTTAATGTGATTAGATAGAATGTAATTTCTATAATGGTTGACTTAAATATGTTTCGTTATGTTTGCGTTGTAGAATTGTTAAGGAGCACTAGATAGCACACACGTTAGAGCAAAAGTACCAATGCTTCATCAAGCAAGATATAGGAATAGACACGATGACATTTCAACAAATGTCCTCGGCGTGTGATCCCAAGATATGAAATTCATTTATGTCTTGCCCAGTTGGGAAGGGTCAGCTGTTGATTCTAGGATACTACGAGATGCGGTAACGAGGAGGAATGGATTGAAAGTGGCTCGGGGTAAGTTATATATAACCACTAACCTCATTTCTCTAACTTCATTTTTTAGATGTTCTTACGAAACCACAATTTTTACGTAGGCACCTACTACCTAGTGGATGCCTATTACACTAATGGCGAAGGGTTCTTAGCTCCATTTAGGGGCCAAAGATACCATGTGCAACAGTGGGCCAAAGGGACAACTACACCTCATAATGCTAAGGAACTATTCAACCTTAGGCATTCAATGGCGAGGAATGTTATAGAACGTTGTTTTGGCTTACTCAAAAATCATTGGGCAATTCTAAGGATCGCACACAATAGAATCATTGTTGCATGTTGTTTGTTGCATAATTTGGTTAGAAATGAAATGGCGTTTGATCCATTGGAAGATGAGTTTTCAAAAGATGCTCCGGCCAATGGTCATGGTGATATAGAGCTGGATGTGATCGACATGGTCGACACATCTATTGAATGAACTGCATTTAGAAACCAACTAGCCAATTATATGTACAATGAATGGCGTGAAAGTAGGGGTGGCTAATTGTTTGACCACATTTGTAGTAACGAACGAATTATGTTGTTGAATTTATGCAAACTATTTGTGTTTGCTTATGATTACTTTATCCAACTCATATATGAATCAGGTGTTTATCAGTTATTTAATTGTTTGTGGCATGTACGTATGTAAGTAGGTCATGTCAAGTGTTGGTGGAAGCAGCCAAGTAGAGTGTAGTCCACGCTGAACATGGACTGCCACAGAGGAGGCTACTCTAATTCAAGCTTTGAAAGAACTCTGTATCAATAGATGGAAATGTCAGAATGGCACATTTCGCCTGGGTTATCTTCAAACATTAGAGCACAACATAAAGGATGCATTCCCAACATCTGACCTTCGGGCCTCACCATATATTGAGTCGAAAATCAAAGCATGGAAAAAATAGTACAACTCTTTGTATTCAATGCTAAGCACATCCAGTTTTGGATGGAATGATTGTGACAAGAAAGTGCATGTGTATGGTGAAGATATCTGGGTGGAGTACTTGAAGTTTTTACTACTCACTTGCATCCATTAATAATAGTAAACCAAGATAACTTGTGTATGTTGTGCCCTAGTAATTTTTTATTGATAATGTAGAAAGACAAGAATGATGATGACTTATGCCATTGTATGATGATTGGGTCCTTATATTTGGGAAAGATAGGGCAACAAGCGAGTTTGCACAAGGACTAGAGGAAATGATCGAAGACAATTCAGCTGTTGGTGATGTCCCTGGGGTTGCCAATGTAGAGGCTCATCCAATTGGGAGAACGGATGACGTTACTCACTCGCAAAGTGTAACTCAGGGCAGGGAGGGTGTGAATGTCACCCCACAGACACGTAAGACAAAAAAAAAAAAATCTAGTGATATAAGTGATTTAATGGCTACAAGTCTTTCCCAGATATGTAGGGTATTTGGTGATTATGTTGTTTCAAGCGAGAACCAACTAGCAAGCATTGCACATAGAGTAGGCTACGAGCAAGATGCATCCACAAGTAAACGTGCCATCCTAGCAGAGTTGTCAAAAATAGATGGCCTCACAATGGCACACCGACACGAGGCAGCCTACAAAATTGCTTCAGATAACATAAAGTTGACATTTTCTTTAGCTTGCCCGTGGAAGAGCAAGCACTCTGGGTTAGTAGCATACTATGGCCTGATTTAGATGTTTATCAAGGTCGTTTGTAAAGCTATTCGCGCCCTACTTGTGAATTAAATTTTGGTTGACCCATGTGTCATATTAACTTTAGCAACTTATGTATTATGTGGATGTTTTGGATGTTTGACTTGTTTATTAGATCTTTGACTTATTAATTAGATGTTTTACTTCTTCTTGGGTAGATGATGATGAATTATGTATGTTGATCATATGTTGGTTTTTGAAGACTTTTGCATGACTTTGAAACTTGTTTAAGAACTTTTATGTTGGACTATCCATATGGCTATTTTCCTACGTATGTATGGTTATTGATGATGACTTGAACTATACAATTTTGTTCTTGTAATTTTTGAGGTTTCAGTTCACAATGAAGCTACCTGAAATTACTAAGGATGAAGTTGATGTCATGCTTGACTTATTAGTTGACTTTAAGAATCACAGGAAATTACCTGTAGCAGGCAAGAATTCAGAAAGACTAATTGATGCACTTTTTAAATGTATGCTGATTCAAACTGTTTCGTGATCGGATTAATATCATACACCCTTGTATAAGTGGTCGAATTGTAGTTTTCTCGGTTTTAAGTCCAAGTATCGATCCCACGAAGAGTGTGTGTAATTAGGAAATAAAATAAAAATAGTAAAGTTTTTTATCTTAGATAGGACATCATGTGATAACTTGTGATGTGAGCTTAGATTGATAACTAGTTTAATTAAAAAGTTATGCTGCAGATAGATTTAGACAATAATAAAAAGTATCATTCAATTTAAGGATCTCATATGCATTATATTAGTTAAATACGGGAAATGCCACCTTACAGCAATCAACTTCCATGTTACTAGCAAGTCAACTGGTAGGTCTGATGTATATAACCCATCACACAATAACTTCTTAGGTTAGCTAGTGGTATCCATGACAATTGATTAATCCAAGCAAACCAGAAGGTCAAGCCATTCATGAGGAATACTTGAATTATTCATTTGTCTTCATAATAGTAGGTGTGTACATAATAAACTATAACACAACCACTTCTTAGGTTAACTGGTGGTATTAGTCATAACACGACAACTTCTTAGGTTAGTTGGTTATAGATGTGAGGACAAAGGACATTCATGATGAATACTTGAATTATTCAATAGATCATCTGTGATATATGTATATACTAGTTAGACATCCTCAACGTTCTAGTGGAGGATAAACCATGCCGATAGGAATGTCATGGTTGTTAGACTAGAAATATTATTATTTATACCAGTTAAATTATCTGAGTAATCCAGAAGGACAAGTCATTCATGAGGATCGCTTAGGTCATTAGTCTAATAGTTATATGTAGAGTAATTAAATAACCCTAATAATCTAGAAGGACAAGCCAATCATGAGGATCATTTAGGTTTTGTATCATGCATCAGTTAACATCTTCAGCGTTCCGGTGGAGGATAAACCATAAACTATACCGATAGGAATGTCGTGGTTGTTTAATCAACAGGTTGATGATGCACTGATGACATAATTCCAGGCACAACACCAAAATTATATACATCACTGTATCATGCATGAAGCATATAATACATAGATATATAAATATATCAAACATCAGCATTTTTAGAATTTAACCAATATTATACATATGTTTACCTCTCACTAGAGGATATAAGTAACCACTCACGCCCCATTGCTACAGACAAGCAAGGAGTATGACTAGTTTTCATTACAATTGTAATTAAAATATAAATTCTAAAACTTCTTTCACAAGGAACAACTAAAACACAATCACCTTATTATCAATTAAGACAAAAAGGTGACAGCAGTTTAACTATCCGAATAGAAATATACAACTGAAATGTGGAAGTACAGAGTTTGGACTGAAGTGTACGACGGACCAGATTGAGTTGCAACTTCTTTTCTCTTTCTTTTTATTTTTATTTTTCTCTTTTATTTTCTCTCTTGAACTTCTCTCTGAACTCCCATAGGATCCGACCTTTTAAGAATGAAGGAGGCAGCCTATATTTCTAGTGAAAGAGGAAACATGAGGTGGAGAGATGAAGTTCAGCCGACTTAGAGGACCGTCCAGAAACCATCACCACCGTCCGAACGGTGTGACCTTGCTAGATTTTTCCACTTGCATGTATGCTGACTCTTCATTTATTGGAATTATACTTCCTTCCTTCATTGTTTCAATCCTTCATACTTTGCTCCCTGCATTTTATTGTAATTCAGCATCAAACCCTGAAAATTTTAAACATAACACACATAAAACCCTAATTGACTCTAATTAATACTTTCTGGTTATTTTATTTTACTAATTTGACTTATTTAACTATCCTGATTTATATACTAATTAAGGTTAATCATATGCAATGAAGGATGTCTAGGTTTTATCTGTCTATGAGTGATATGTTGAGGCTAATCCTTTTCTGGGAGTGCCAATATAAAAGCATTACTAAGATGTTAAATAGTGGAATGTTTGTTTGGGACACGTAGACTACGTGTGTTGTTGAAGCCCCAAAGTCTAGTGGTTTGGATTTCATACTATGTGAATGTGAATTCACGATGTCGGACTGGAAAAACTGTCTCAAAAGTAAACCCCAATTGAAAAGGGGGCGATTAGTACACCAAAGATAGTAACTATAAGGTAGAAGTTTGGCACCACATGGTGCGGATCGTTGAGTTAACAACTAAACATGGAACGGTTTTTGGATCCTTGTCCAAACTTCCCAATGTTTGAAATTATTTTCAAACACGATGTACCAACCTCAAGTCAACATATTGATAGCAGTGTTGGATCATGCCCATCAGTAAATTCAAGGAGGAGGGAAGATGATGTCATAGTTATTGATGATGATTGACCTCATCCTTTGTCATGTAACAAAAACTCAGGGTGTATGTACTTGGGCAAACTTGCCTAGGTGAACCGTTGAGCCAATGACTTATTTCATTAGTTCTTGGATCATTCGATAGAGCCAATGACTCTAGTATTGTTGTATGTTTTTATTGTAGGCTTATGTATTATGTTGGATTTGTGGGTTTAATTATGTTGTGTGTGGCATTAAGTGCACAGGGTTGTATTTGATTGAATATGATTCTCAAATATTAGTTCCAATGGTTTTGGGGAAGATAGTGGTGCTTTTTCAATTCATTTTTTGGGTGCTTGTTTGTTTTGTTTAACGTGTTTATCAAATCCAGGTAGCAATACCCCGGTGCAAGATTTCTCAGAAAGCTTGATGGTACCTCAATGTAAGGATTCTTATTTGTCATTATTTTCCACATTTGTGTATGCTTTGCATAAATATAGGTCACTTGTTGTGCTGCAGAGCATTAATGTTTGCTTCGAGAAAGCATTATGCTAATGAATTTAAATTTGGTTACATAGTAAATTCAGATTATGGTAATGTAGTAGTAGTAGTAGTAGGTAGTTATCTCCTAGTTAATAAATGAGTCTATTTTAAATGTAGAAATTGGTTCTTGAATTCTACTTTGGATTGGTTGCATCCACTTGTGTTGCTCTAGTGGTCTCAAAAGAAAAGAGTTTTGCTAGGTGGTCAGTAGTTTGAGGAAGTTACTGGTGTTGGATAGAGAAGTGTAAATGCTTAGCTGGTGATGTGGTACTGCATGTTAATGCACTACTTTGTCTACTTGATATGTTGTTCTACCTACTATATTGCTATGCAACACTGTTATGCTGCTATGCTTTGTCTGATGTGCTGAAGTTATGCTGGATGGTATGAAGTTGATGGCTGATGTAATGAGCTGAAATGTTGCAGGAGTCTAATAGCAACTGGTTCAGTTTTAATTGCACATGGACTATTTCTGCACTGGACTGCATTGGGACTGATCTGGAATGCACTAAACTTCTTCTGCGCATGGAACTGGGGTATGCAAGCAGGAGTTTTTTTCAAAAATCAAGGGTTCATGAAATGTAATTAGAAATGGTTTAATCCATCTTGAAGGATGAAAGACATTTTTTTCATACTTTTAGAACAATTTGTTCTTTGATTCTTGTCTCAAAAGGATTAGCAACCTATTATGAGTATTTTTTTGTTTTTTTTTTCCTACGGTGAGTGCTAATCTGTTTTTTTTTTCTTCAGATTATGGCAGTGTAGTTTGAGTTTGACTTCAGTATTGAATGTGACCATGCATTGAGATACTAGTCCACAAGTTGATAGATTAGCTTCACCAATTCTGGAGTCCCACTGGACAATGACTCGATTAACTATAATGCACCATCAGTTCCGATGCTAGTACCCCCCCCCCCCCAGCATCAACCTTGACAAACATGAGGTTTTGGATAGTTTGCAAAGGCTATCTATAACAGAATTGCTTAGCTTTAAACCATCCAAATTCAATTCTGAAAATCTCTTTAAATTTGCAAGTTTAGCCAATAAATTCATTATACTGTTGCCAGATATAGGGTGGTTGTATCCTAAGCACAATTGCATCAGAACTCATCCAGAATCCAGTGAATTAACAACCTTCTGAATTATTCTAGATTTAATAGAACAGTGCTCTATATTTAAGCTACAAAGGGCTTTGCAATTTTGTAAAATAGTTGAAAGGTAAGACGCACATGCATCAGTCAAACGATTTCCAAAGATGTTAAGGACTTCTAACTGAGCAATTAGAACAGGGCATTCGCAGATCTGAAATAAAGAAGTTGGCCCAAAGTGGTTGCAATGCAAATCCAAAAGCAAACCACCATAAGTTTGACCCACCAAAGTAAATAGCTATTGAAGTTTCTCCATTGTTCCATCGCCTAATAAATTGTGCAAAATATTTAATGCAGCAATTGTCTTGTGTGCATTCAGGGCATTCAATAATGGTGTTCCTTTATTATATTGTTTTGGTTTCATAAAGCAACCAAAACAATGAAAATATAAGTCTTGCAAATCACAATCAGACACAATGACTTCATCCTCTGAAAGCTCTAAGTTATATCAATAAATTTTTCTATCATTAAATTTTTATATTTTCATTGTTTTGGTT